TTCGAGACGGCGCCGATTCTTATTAAAACGATCCTTACGAAAACTGGGACCACGTGGCGCTCGTTCCTTCTTCGCGGGAATATTGTTCGAAGAAATTTTCGTAACAAGCAACGCTAAAACGATGAAAAGAAGAGGCGAAAATCAAATAAACTCTGTAACCCAAACATCTGGCAATTATTTCTATTCTAATCTTAAAAGTCTTAAGATCTTATATAAAAAAAAAAAAAGATATAAACTAAAATATAAACTTAAAAAAAAGATAGTTTTCATTTCTACATACTTTTATTAAATATTTGTACTCTACTTTCGAATCACAATTATGTACAAAATTAAAATAAATAAATCAAACCTTACAAATAATACAAATACGTAAAAACGTGTCGCTTTAATCGTATGGGTTACAGAATATTCGTTATTGATAAAAATTCCCTCGTCTTGGGATATTCGGCCAAAAGTACAAGTAAGTAGTTTCCAAATTGTAGATATATTTAAAAAAGTAATGAGAAAAGAAAAATAACGGTTTGTAGAGTTTCTTTTAAGAATTAAAAAAAAAAAAAAAAAAAAAAAAAAACGGTTTTTAAGGTTTTTTTTAAAAATTAAAAGAAAAAAAAAAAAAAAGAAATCCTCTTCATATAGATATCGAAAATAAAATTATATCGCTTATTTATTCCTATACGTTTCGAGGAAATATCTTGGAAAATAAGAAACTAAAAATTTATTCTTTTTTTTTTTTTTCTTTTTTCAACAATCGATCAATTCCAATCCACATTCGAAACGCGAAAATTCACATTTCAAAATCAATTCTTCGTCCTTCCTTGTAATCGCAAATAACATCGAAATAAAATATTTTTAATCGTCCTACTATTTTTTTTTTTCTCTCTCTCTCTCTCTCTTTCTCCTCTTCAATCTCGAGCAACCGCGTCGAAGAAGAATTCATTCCACGTGGCACTAGTCGAGCGATCGATCGTATCATCTTGGACGCGAGAAAAATCGGCCAGTGAATTAATCTATCGCCGGCTAATATCGATACAATTGTGTCGATCAAAAAGAATATCGTTACTCGATATTATTGGTTCAGTTCGATTGGACCTTGTTCACGATTACCATTCTCGAAATCGAGAATCGATATCCTAAATTCATTCCTTACGAATTATGCGGAAAAATCGAATAATACGATTGGAGTGTTTGTCGCGTGTCGGTGTTCGAAATGTGATTAGGAAAAAAAGCTCACCAGGAGAGGCACTGGATACGCGTAAAAAATTCTCCCTTTGTCATCTAGCTCCCGTATCAAAATTGATTTAGTAGAAAATATCGCATCTTCGTCGCTTCTTTCGGTATATATCGTTTTAAATGTCTTGTAAAAAGCTTGCAACCTCCTCGACGAAACTCCTTCCCTCTCTATCTTTTATATATATTTTATTCCATTGCTTCTTTTTTTTTCCTTTTTTACATTTTTTCTTTTTTTTTTTTTTCTTTTTTTCTCTTTTTTTCTTACTCGAATACGCTTAACTTTCCAAGTTAAAAGATCGAAAAAGGAGTAACGCACTCTTTGTTGTGAAATTCTATTTGAAGACAGCTCCGATTGATATAACTTCGATATAAAAAAGTACGGTCAACGAGAAGCCTTCAGTCGTTGCTGAAAGACTTTGCATCGTCGAAATCCTCGTATTGCTCTTAATCGATACAAATATAAAATGTTGATGTCTACGATTCATCGATCAGAAGTAGATGAGAACGGTGCGCATGCGTGGTAGAAAAGTCGATAGACGCTCTTCGATATTCGAGGATTCGAGGTCGAATTATTATACCGTGGACTTGGGAGAACAATTGCGTTAAAAACATTCGAGCGAAACTATTTGCCGCGCACTACGTTAAAATCTCCAAGTGTTACTGATTCGGTACGAATCGATCGTGGAATCTATGAAGAATTACTTTTGATATGTGGTGTATCGAATAAAAAGAGAAATAGGAAAGAAACGCTATTCGATCGCGTACGAAATCACGCTGACAATGTCGAAATTCGTAGATGGGATCGTATGGATCGCACACTCGATACAGAAAATATTAAACGAGGTGGTATTCGGATACAATTTCAAAGTCCACGCGTCTTCTTTCCCGTCGATCGAAGACGAAATTATTGAAAAACAAAACCCGTCGAAACGAGAGTCATTCGTTTCGATTTCTCATCTGCTATAATTTAGCTATAACGGATTTCGGAAGCAGCGAAACGGGAACGAGAAATGAAAAATGATAGGAACGAGATATGTCGAGTCGTGGAGTGAAAACTTTTTTCTTGTAAAGAGTCGAGAATAAGAAAGTCGCGTTTCGTCGAAAAAATTTAGCGTATTCGTAATCGTGTATGCGTACGCGTTCGTAGCAGAGCCTCGAACAGGATTCGCGTCCCCACTGTCGAATGGATTATGCTTCATCGCGCTACGCGTCGTACACAGGATATTTCGTAATATCGTACAATATCGATCTAAACATACAGCATCAAAAAGTCGATATATCGATATAAACGCTCATACGTGTTTCCATTTATATACATACACACTTATGTACGAGTACGTTTAAAAAAAAAAAAAAAAAGGAAACGCAGTACGTGTCATCTTGCGTGTGTGAACGAATGAACGAGGAGTGTGTCTCTGAGAAGCAATCCTCCGAACAAACAAAATCTTTGTTTTACGTCCCGATTTTATTACTCCTTTTAACCTTTAATTGTTCGTAATTGGAACAACGCAAAGAGGAAAAAAAAAAAAAAAGAAAAAAAATCGTCCTTCCATCAACGCGAATTTGCTTAATTTGCGTCAGCGAGCATCAGAGATACCTTAGCTAAGCCTAGTTAACTCTGGATTATAAACTTGCACACAGAGATACGACCACGATTCTCGTGCATTTATCTTTTTTTTTTTCTTCTTTCTTTCTTTTCTTCTTAGTTTAAATTCGATTGCCTCGAAACCGAGAGGATCGCATCCCGGATCGACCAGACGGTCGGAATCAATCGTCTCGGTCGTTTCCGAAACGGGAGACAACGAGATTAGCAGCTTAAGATTTATTATATCACATCGTCAATATGTGCGGCAGTATTTGCTTCTGAAACGGCCTGAATAAATTTGATCGGCCGTCGAGAAGAACTCGGCGCTGAGAATCGATGTTTCACATCGAAAACTCGTTGATAGTTTTAACCTGCAGCTCCGATTCGCGATTATACCAAACTTGTCGCTATATATATATATATATAAAAAAAAAAGAAAAAGAAAACGAAGGAAAAAGAAAATTCTCCTATATACGTTCGAGCCTCGGGACTCGACGCGCGTGATCTATCGTGATCATCGGTTTCGGATTGGCAGTATCGATCGCTAGACGCTTTCGTCCGCGACACCTTAAAATGTACACAAATGTATTTTAATCCTAGGGACGAGGGGTGGTCGCGGGTGTTCAATTGCGAACACCGAAAGAAAGGATCGTTCGAAGGCGGTTTCCATGCAAAAACGTGGTGGCGAACAACGCAAAAGCCGAACCTCTTCCCCTCGAGGACAAGGATAATCGTCCAACTCCTCCGCTTTTCCCT